AGGAGCCTGGCAGAGCAGCTGCACACACGGCAGTGCGGAGGCAGAGAAGGGGTTGGTGATACGGTGCTATAAATCTGTGGTCCAGTCCACCTCCCTTTTAAGACGTCCTCCCCGGTTATTTCTGTTCTCAGTTAGAGATGCAGCAGCTTACTCCTGTAGCGACCTACTAAAAAGCAACAAGGAGAAAGACATCGTCTTTTTGAAAAAACGTTCATTCGTCTCTTTTCTTTGTTCCTTCGTTTGTTTTTCTTGCCCCTTTTTGTTTAGTTGAACGGCTTTAGGAGGGTAGTCTATCCGTCTTTTTAAACTCTTTTTTTTTTTAAGTTTCCCCTCCCCTTTAATATATTTTTTTTTCGCCATTTCTTTTAGCGTTGGACTTCGGGGTCGAAAGCATTTCTTTTGATTTGCTTCTTTTAAGCAGAGCACAGTTTAGGTTTCGTGCGGTCTTAAGAGAACTATCCAGCAGCTTCTTGCTCATCCTTATTGGGAGAACTGCACCGTTACTTTAAAAACACACATACACAAAAACCTTAAGGGAGAAAGGTAAGTTTCGGTTTGGTTTCTTTAAATCATTAGTTTCAGCGATGCGCTGGCAAACCCAGAAAACCTGTAAGTGAGCGGAATAGAGAATATGAAGTTAAATTGCACATGTTTGTTTCATTCAAAGCCACTGCTCTGCTTCTTAATTCTAGAGACCTAGACTTAAGAGTCGGTGGAGGCATGCTTGACATACTGAGTATTTGCAAATGTCAGTGGCAGAACTTAAGTGGTGAATGTGGCCAGGGTAGGGCAGGGGTACAGTGGGCGCTAGATGTTGAGTGAGCGCCGGGATTGAGGTTGGAAGTTCATTTCGTGGGAAGAGAGGGGAAACTTGGGTTTGGGGGGGATGCATACCTCTACTTTCGCAAAGCAGCCGAAGGACTGGAGAGGCTTTAGTGCCGTTAAGGATAATTAGAAGCCTGGACTTGCAGATTAGACCTGCGAACCCCCCTGACTTAATTGCATCAACCAGATAGCATGTGCCGGGGAAATGGGATTACCAGACGGATTTTATATGCAGTGCCAGGCAGCGCGAGTTGTAGTTGTCTGAAAAAGTACATGCCGCCTTAGGGCTGGGACTGACTGGGCTGCGGCTGGGGTGGGTAGAAGCTGTCAAAACTCGTCATTGCTAGGTGTGCGGGCTCTAATTCATGGGAGCCAATTACCGTGATTCACTTTTAAAAGAAGACAGCCAATTTAGGGCCGACTTCTTAAGCGTCTGCCAGCTATGAGATTCCCTTTGTTCAGAAAAGAGTAAGAAAGATCCTTGGAGCTGTGTCTGTGGAGTGGCGGCTGCCTGGGAGCCTCGCAGTGGTGGGTGCTGGGAAGTGTATTCCAAGCCCTGTCCTTGGTCCTACGCCGCCGACTTCGCCTTTGGGGCGAGGGGGCGTCCCTTTGCAGCCACCCCAGGAGCCAGCTTCACTGCACAGCTCTCACTCCCTTCCTTACCCCCCCCACCCCACCCCCGCCCTTACTCGAATAGCTATTGTTAAGCTGCCACCGGGAGAAAGGTGGTTGGGGATGAGATGCTGGGAAAACACATACTTCATTTTAAGTTTTGCGATATCCAAGGGTTTAGGAGAATCCAACTGGCTTTCTCCTGTGGACGAGAGAATCCGGGGTAGATGTGGGAAAGGGGGAGGGTGTTCGCAGGATGGGGAGGGCAGAGGGGATCGCGGTGGCAGCTAACGAGGTGCTGCCTTTGCCTGAGAGAGAAGTTTAAATTATTGGCACGAGGGAGTGTGGGTAAGTGCGTGCGCGAAAGCGCCCATGTGGCGCTTGAGGAAGAGGATGGGAAAAAGGTACAAAGCCGCCTGGGATTGTTATTTTTCCCCTGGTCTTCACCGCACCCATCCTTCGGGTTGGAAAATCCAATGCGTGGCCTGCCTACTCCACATTCAACTCTGCCATCTCCAGGCTTTGGGGGGCTGTTGATGTTATGTTCTAGGTGGCAGTGCCCACCATGGCAGCTCCGCGGAGAATGGGACCTCGCGTGGCCATTGTTGCTTAATTTATGCCCAGCACGTTGCTACGGACCCACCTATTTCACGTCTGTAAAGAATTAACATGAGAGCTATACAACTGTGGTAAATTGGAGGTTGGATGTGTTCCCTGTTTTCCATTTTCAAGTAGGAGTTAGCAAAACTGATGTAGAGACTGGGTATTTTCTCTGGTAATTACCAAGCTGGCTTTATTGTGGAGAGAGTGAGAGAAATAGTCAATCATTTAGTATTCTCTCTTAACACTGCTGACCGCAATGAATGTCTCTGTACTTTCTCCCTGAAATGCATGGGTTTACTCCCCTCCCCTACTCAGGTACAAACACTCCTGTTGGTTAAGATTCTAAACCTTCAGCCCTTCCCCACACTCCTATTTATGACACTCATCCTCTGTATGTTGGGCGTGGGAGGGAGATGGAGGTGGTTTATTTTTTTAGGCCTACACAGCAATCTTCAAAATACAGGCTTAGAATGGGGGGAGGGGTACAGAGCAGACAATAGTAACCAAATCAATTATTTTCCTAATTGGAATCAGTTTTAAACAGGGAAATAGTGTGCCTGTTTTGGGGAATGTTTGGTCTCATAAGATTTCCTTGTCAAAATGGCTTCTTAAATGGGACATCTGAAATATTTCTCAGCATCTGAACAAATAAATCCACAAAACACAAAAATGTTGAGTGTTTTACACCTGGCATTCCTGGACTCTCCTTCCCTCATGGGCACCCCACTTTATGAAGCTAACTTGGTCTGGAGTTCTCCGCGATAATTCAACATTTACAGATAGGAGTGTTTTGGAAGATGTGTGAAACTGAAGAGAGAGCTTTCTCATAACTCAAGAAGTTAGCTTCAGGAAGTAGGGCATAGAGCATTCTAAGAGGTTTGGGCTTGGATTGGCAAATTTGGTAGGCCCATTTTTGTCTAACGTTTGGAAATGTACTTTTTTTTTTTTTTAAAAGCAATCTTGCCTGCCTAGGATGGGAATATTATAATTAACTTTTTAGAGGAAGGTCATAGAGGCGAAGACTCTTTCAACAATTTTCCCAGGAACCCCTACAAAGTCAATTAAGGTCATTTAATTGCAGATAGATTTGAGGTGACAACCGAAATGCTGATATAGCATCAATTAGCTGTTTTTGATGTCCCCAGTCTAGGTTCCCCAAATCGAAGGGTGGTCTCTCTTCATTTGGTTGGTAGTTGAGCCCCACTATTTTACTATGCATGACTTGACAAGGGGGCAATTTAGCCTCCTTCCCAGCACCCGCCCTGAGGAGGAGTCCCCCGCCTTCTTCCCCAGCTCCGCCCGTCACATGGGGGCGGGGGAGTGAGCGCTGGGCGCCTTTAGCGGACCTTGCTGCATCGAACCCGCATCATGCCCTTGAAGCTGTAACCTCCGTTGCGTTCTTGCGGCGACTCAGTCGCCCACTGCTCAGTTCCTCTCGGTTCCTCTCTTACCTCCTACGTCGTTTTCAGGTAGGTATGAGAGGTCATATTTTTAAACGTATTTTTTTTTCAGGAGAAATGGTTAAGACAAGGTTTTGCAATAAAAACAAATAACCCAAACCGACCAACAGGACAGGTGCTGTCGTAATTAAGCGGTTGAGCAGGTGTAAGAACGTGCTCCTGCTGCGTGGCTCGGGTTGGTTTTAACTCCCAGTCGAGGGGCTGATTCTGAGGACAGGCACAGGTTTTTCCGGGGAAAAGCGATTGACCTGGCTGTGGGGGCGGGCCAAGGCGAGGCAGCAATGGGACGCCCACTTAGTGAAGAGTTGCCCATTTCAGAGCTTCCGTGGGGGATGTTGGAAGGATGCAGTGAACAGCAGGTGTATAGCCAAGTGCAGTGTATCCTATTCTGCGCATGAAGCAGAGTATACCACCACGCGTAGGCATTTGGGGCTTATTTGAGCGTCAGGTTACATCTAAAGAGGCAGAGATGGGCAGCAGGGGTTTAAGCCCAGGGACAGGCCCCTTGGCTATAAAGTAATGGGAAAAAGAGCTTTTTAACTCTGCTCGCAGTATATGGGTGCATTTGTATGTATATATATTTGATACATCTCTATCAAAGTAACTCCCGCAAGAATCACTCTGGCTCTCTATTAGCACCCGGAGATTCGGGGTTTACAAACTTGAACCCGGAATCTGCCTTTTATGGGTGTGCAGCTCTCTTCGCGCTGCCAGGGGAACCCAGTCAGTGATCTTGCTGGAAATCAGAAGCCAGGAGGGTCGGAGACAAACAGCCGAGGCTGGGTGTCTTCTTGAGGCTCCTACTTGCGGGGCGGCTGGGCAGGGCTCGCGCCACCGAACTCGCCGCCCCGCGAACTCGCTTCGCCGCCCCGCCTCCTGGCTGCCTTCCAAGCAAGCCCCTCCTCCCCGCCTGGCTACAAACAGTGGGAACGCCGGCGCCTGGGCGTCACTGAGGCAGCTGCCAGCAGGGTGAGGAACCTGGTACCCGGTGTGACGCGGGTGGGGCGGGGGTTTTGCCGGTTTCCAGTCAGCCTTCCCGCCACCGCAAGATTGGGGACTGGGCACAGGGACACACAGCCTCCGCCACCACCGCCACCGCCTCTCAGCGGAGTCTGCCTGGAGTGACTCCTCCGTGGCTGTGCTGACGACCAGCAGCGTGAGCCGTAGCAGCTGCAGCTCGGAGAGTCCTAGCAGGCAAGTGCTGTGGGAACTGGGGGAGGAGGCTGGGAGAGTGGGCATGCGGAGTCTTGACCCAGGTCTGTTTAGGACACGAGGCTAAGGGTTGTACGTGCGCAGCGCGGAGTCCGGGCTCTGGGCGGGAACGCTGGTGTCGGCGACGGAGGTTGTGCGAAGGAAGTTCCTAGAGCTCAGCCCCTTGTGGCGAGAGTACGGAGAACTGCGCGCCTAGCGCCTAGCGAGGTGGCACCGCCCCTCCTGTCGGCACGAGCAGGTTGGGGGCGGCGTGAGCTGAGTGAGGCCGGTTGCACCGGGTAGGGTAGCTTGCACTGGCGTGGACGTGCCCAATACCGCGGTAGCACGAGGAGAGCTGCCCCCAGACGCAGGTGAGCCTATTGGAAGGGGAGGGGGGAGGGAAGGGGCTTTTCCAGAAAAAGGCACAATTGTGGTGGACCGGCAACCACGGCTTGTGGGAGGTTGTGTGCACTCCAGCCAGGTGGTGTATGGTGGCGTGTCTGCTTGGTACAGCGCCTCCTCCCGCGTGGTCCCTGGGGCTCCCAGGGTGTCTCGAGACTTCGAGCGGCCAAGCAGTGTGAGGAGGTGGTATCTTCTGGGTTTCTTTCCCTCTTGCAAGGTGTTAGGTGAGGCCGGGCACGGCTGCGTGAGATCGCTTGTTGAGGTCGCTTCCTGGTTTGCGCGCCTAGTAGCGCGCTAGGCAGGAATCGTGGAGGAGCTAGAGCGAGGCAGGCTCTGGCGGCTTCGGCTGGCTCGTGGAGGTCGCAGCAGCTGCGCTTTCAGCTCCACGAGTAGCGCTGGCCAGCTGCAGCCCCGCGCACCTACGTGTGTGCCTTCACTGGTGACACTGGTGGAGTCCCTCGAGGACCAGCCATCGGTTCACCAGCAGGTGCTCCTCCAGTGGTCGTGATAGTGACCAGCAAACAGCCTTTCCAAGGCGGTTCCCTAAAAGCCTACTAGTTATCCTAGAGGGCTGGAGCTGGAAACCTCGATGTGAGCTAAGAGTTGTAGTTTAAATGACCAGATGGTTATTTAAAATAGCATTTTAAAAGATTTTGTTTAGGATAAAATTTTCATCTTTTCTGAAAATATGAGGAAAGAAGGATTGGTTACCGGCTGTTTATCTCCCTTATTCCCACCCCAAAGACTGGTGTTTCACAATGCCAGATAAAATACCTCCGACAAGGACAAAGACCTTTTTTAAAACTTAAGTTTTTGGTGAACCTACCGATAATAATTCTTTTTAAAAATGCATTGCAGCCCTTAAACTTAGAGCAAATGAGTCCTTTTAAAATCACTCGAATGCCAGTTGGGATGTTCCCCATGCCCTTATGTAAAATCGATTTGTTTGAAATACTGCTTAGCTGCCCTTGAAGGCAATTTTCTCCATCATTTTCCCAGTGTCATTTGAATTTTTTATTGTGCTGTGGTAGCTCTTTCTTGAGGAAGCCGACCTGGAGTCTCCATTTTGGTGAGCGGTTAGAAAAGCTTCTCCAGATCTACTTTTCTCATCAGGACCTTTGGGTCTAAAAATGGTGACTTGTTTTGTTGGATGGATTGGAATGTCACTGCATTTGTTTTGGATCTGTTTATAAGAGGTTTGTAGAAATGTTGATTTAACACTGCTCAGGTGTGTGTGTGTGCGTGTGTGTGTGTGTGTGTGTGTGTGTGTGGTGCATACCAAAAGTGCCCATGGGAATGGGGGAGGGGAGGGGAAGAGGAGGCAAGAATAAACATTTGGAAGATAATGGCTGGGGTGGGGTAGGAGAAATTAGATGATAAAGAAACACATTACATCCAGTTTTCTAGGATTCCTCTGCTTTTTTCTTTTTCTTTTTGAGAGAATAGTTTTGTGTTTGTGTGATCAGTACTGGCCCCTTGTACCCTATTTGGGTAACTTTGTGGTGCAACCTTTCAGGGAATGAGATTTTTAGTTTCTCCTTCAAAGACACAGCCTTAGGCATTTATGGGTCCCCTCGCTCCGGGTCTTTAAGTGTTTCCTCTGTTCTGTGGTGTTTGCTCTTACCAATCATATCAGGTCAGCTGTTTTTAAGATGTACATACTCTTCATGGTTCCAGAGAATTTTAGTTTTTCTGAAACCCTTCTCTAATAGAACAGGTACCCAAAATTGGTCAGTGTCAGCCAGGCACGTCTGTTACTTACTAAGGAACCTCATTTTATTTTTTTTCCCTAGGCTCATTCTTAGAATTTCTTTTCTAGTTTTGGATTTTTTGTTGGTTTGGTCTGGGTAATGCTTCTTCAGAGACTCAAGTTCCTTCTCTGAGTTTTCTTGCTTTTATTTAAGACCCAGCTCCCGGTGGGTTATGAAGAACAAGGTTCTAAGTGGCATTTCTAGTATACCATTTGTTAATCCAGCCTTTTGGGTCTTTGTACATAGGCAGATGTTCCCGGCTGAATCCTCATTACCACCTTCAGCCATTCTGGCCGTCAGTGCTTTTCTTGCTAACATGATCATGTTTTCAAAAAAAAATACTGGCCTTTCCACCTCTCTTTCTCTTTTATTCTAGAAGCAAGTCCCCAGTTCTCTTTACGGACCCAACAGAGTGATCCAGGAGAATATCCTGATTTCTAAGCTGTGATCAACCTTTCCTCATTCTGATGAAACATTTTTTAAAAAACCATATAAAAACTTGTGACACTTTTCTGGTGTTAGGATGGTACAGGAGCACCGCAGTGGCAAATTACCATTCTTCATGTTTTTCCTCCCTCCAAAGGACTGGATTCTCTGAAGTGTAGCATCCTATCAAGACTGACTTTACCATTTACCGTTTTGATCTCTTGGTCTGCATGGTAGGGTCCGTTTTTTTGCTCTCATTTGAGGTCATATTAAATCCACTACATTGTTATTGCCACCTTTGTCACCAGTAACATTGATTTGTAAGTAAGGGAGGCTAGAGACCTGCAGTACTTACTTAGCATGGTCAGGTTATTTTTTGATAGCGTTGGGGGGCTGAATAGTGTGCCACCCTGTAGAAAACCTGCCATGGTTGTCTGCTCCAGCTCTTTCTAATTCTTTGGATATTCAGCTGGACAGGCTAATAATCACACTAAGCCAATTTTAGAGGGATGTGTGTGTATTTTGTATCATGGGTACTTGGTTGGAAGCAGGGTCGCTTTAGGGCATGGGACCTGTAACCCCACCCTCTTTGACAGGAGGACCCCTTTCTTTGATTTTGCTTATCCTGGTCAGAGGCCTTTTTGCTTGTTAATATTCAGTTGCCAGTATTGTTGATCTGTACTAATACATTAAAACAGTTTGAAGTTGAAGGCTTTATGCACTGGTGATGCCACACCCAACTCCTGAATTAACACAATGGAGGACATTAAATGCATAGAAGGTTCACTTATTTTGTCCAATTCATTTTACAAGTGTGGAAATCTTCACTGGTTGTAGTTACTCACAGAACCCACATGTTATGTACTTTAGTGCCAGACTCATCATTTTATGTGTTGTTCATTGGGAAGAAGATTTATCGTCTCTTTCTGTGTTTCAGAATACTAGTTTTTGCAGTGCTAGTTGCTTTTTCTTTCCTGAATTCAAGCAATATAAATTTGCTAAGTAGAAAGGCACTTAAGCTCGAAAAGCAGCGTTTTGTTTTAAGGCTTTTGTGTATTAAAAGATGCATGTTTTATTATGCTTTAAATAGGATTGGTAACTTTTAGAATCTGAACTAAAAATAGGAACTAGTGTAGTACAATTTTATAGAGGTTTTATGGAATATTTGGGGAATATTTCACTGATAAATAAACAAATCACTGATAAGAAATAAACAAATACGGCTTTTTGTAGGCGTGATGTATACCATAACTTTAGTTTTAGTTAGGTCAGAGGAGAATTATTTTTTAAGGGAAGATAACTTTTTATACCTTTAGCCTTGAAACTGTTGTGTAAAACAAAACTGAAGGTAACTCTTCTGTGAGAAACATTGTGCTTGGTGACTTCCTATATAGGCATCCCGTCTTTGAATACCAATGTTAAATTTTCAGAGATTGGTTTATATAAAAATAACTTGTTTTTGATAAAGGTGTTATTTATTTTCTCAGGGATTTTGGGTTGTTAGATTTTGCATCCGTTTCATGCAGAGAAGGATAGGTAATTTGGGAAGGAGGGCATAGGTAAAATAACCAAGAAGATCATAGGACTGGGTTGTGTGGGATTAAAACCAAACCAGTTTGAAGGTTGTCTCATCAATTGTAAGTAACCATGTGGGTTTTTTAAAACTCCCACTTTCCTTGTACTTGTCTGTGTTACTGACTTCTATTAAGTCAATTTCAGACAAAATGAATAGCAAATAAGGTTTAACAGGTAAGACCCCCCTTTTGGAAGTTCTTTATTTAAAAAAAATTGATAATTTTCTCAGTAGACTTATTTATCATGAGACAGTTATAGTAAAATGATATGTTAAAAAACATGCTGAAGGTTTTGCTTTAGATGAGATAAATTTTGAACTCTCAGTGATACAGTGATACATTTATATGAGACTTTCCCCCTTGATTTTAAAGAGTCTGTTTCACAAAAACAAAGTTTATATTTTACATGACTAGCTTTTCTTTTCCAGCAGAAATTTTGTTGTTGTGAGCTGTCCATCAATGGAGATTATTTCAGTAACTTTGAAACTGTATTAAAGGAATATCAAAAAATTTCCTTTTCATAAATATCAAACCAATTAGCTTCTTTCAGGGTGAGATTTTATTTCATTTTGCTTTTATAGTTAGCAGCGGTCAAACTCATTTCGAGCTTCAGTTGACATTTTCTTGACTAATTTTATCTCCTTATGAGACTGGGGCACCAGTTGTTTCAGAATTCTTAGCTTTCCTGTGTTTCCTAATTATAGAGTTACTGTAAAATGGAGATTTCTTGTTAATACTGAGGAGCTCTGAGTGTCTTTGAGGCTCTGAAGAAAGCTGTGGACCCTTTCTCCTTAGGGAAATGCACATACATGGAAATTTTCATTCAATTTTTACTGTCTCGCCATCTGGAATAAAGAGTGTTAAAATGAGCTTTCGTTTGAGAAATAAGACTTTGAAAATTGGAATCATCTTCCTACAGTGGTGGCAGCAGGGTAAAGTCATTCAGGTTGGCTCTTATCTGCTGAAGTGTTAGTGGTGTGGGCCTTTAGTGTTTATCCAGGATAAGACTCTGAGCGTCCTTGTCTCGTCGTCGTTTTTTAAAACATCTATTCTGATTTTGTAAACAAACATTACACATGTAAGGTCTTCTTGAGAGTACAGTGCTGCCAGTTCAGCTGCTGAGTTGTCTTGCCTCAGTAGGTTTTGTCACTTCGGCTGTAATTCTTAATTTAGCAGAACCAGGTGGAAAATACTGGGTTGGGAGCCTGAAGTTTCCGT